CCCCCCCCCCGCAGGGTCATGGGGGGGAATCGGTGCTGGGGGGTCCCCAGGGGGGGATGGGTCTCCATGGGTGCCAGGGGTCCCCATGGGTGCCAGGGAGGTCCCATTGGTGCCAGGGTCCCCATGGGTGCCAGGGAGGTCCCATGTGTGCAGGGTGTCCCATGGATGCAGGAAGGTCTCAGGGAGGTCCCCCGGGTGCCAGGGAGGTCCCATGGGTGCAGGGTGTCCCAAGGATGCAGGAAGGTCTCAGGGAGGTCCCATGGGTGCCAGGGAGGTCCCACAGGTCTCAGGGAGGTCCCATGGGTGTCAGGGTGCCCATGGGTGCCAGGGAGGTCCCACAGGTCTCAGGGAGGTCCCATAGATGCCAGGGAGGTCCCCCAGGTGCCAGGGAGGTCCCCGGGTCCCCGGGGCTCACCCCGAAGTAGTTCTTGGGCACGTAGCCCTCGTGGCCGTAGAGGGAGCCCCACCACCAGTCGAGCTGGTCGGGCGCGTCGCGCCGCAGCACGGTGACGGGCTGGCCCTCGCGGAAGGACAGCTCGTCGCCCAGCTCGGCGCTGTAGTCCCAGAGCGCGTACACCACGCCGCTGTTGAGCACCCCCATGCCCTGCTCCACCTCTGCGGGCGCCGGCGCGTCACCACGGGGGACACGGGGGGCCCCACGGGCCCGAACAGGCGCCCTGGTCCTCCTGGTACCCCCATCCTCCCGGTACCCCCATCCCCAAGGTACCACCATCCTCCAGGTACCCTGGTCCTCCTGGTACCCCTGTCCTCCAGGTGCCCTGGTCCTCCTGGTACCTCTGTCCTCCAGGTACCCCCGTCCCCAAAGTACCACCATCCTCCAGGTACCCTCGTCCCCAAGGTACCACCATCTCCCCAGTACCCCCAGCCTCCAGGTACCCCCATCCTCCTTGTACCTCCGTCCTCCAGGTACCCCTGTCCTCCAGGTACCCTCGTCCCCAAGGTACCACCATCTCCCCAGTACCCCAGCCTCCAGGTTAACCCTGTCCTCCAGGTACCCCGGTCCTCCAGGTACCCTCATCCCCAAGGTACCACCATCTCCCCAGTACCCCAGCCTCCAGGTACCCCCATCCTCCTTGTACCCCC